CCCTTGATGCACTGCACCCTTTTCTCTGGATTCTTTGTCTGGATTCTTTGTCTGGTTCTCATTCTCTCTCTGGTTCTGGAAAGATGCTCAGTCCCCCAGCCTCCCATTAAGGTGTATTGTCAGGTCCTTATGAAGATGGAACTGTTATACCAGAAAGAAAGAGAGACACACTCGCTTAGAAACCCTGTTCAATGTTTGAATGTTAAATGTGCCATTTTATTATCATTAGGATTGCTCCCACTTAATGAAACGGCATTAGCACCGAGTCGGCTGGCCTCCTTGCACTAATTGCTTTGAAAGGGAACAGGCTCATGACTACCCCAGGGTGGGAGGAGGGGAGAGGGGTGGAAGCGGGGACTCAGGCAAGGCTTAGGGCGCTCAGATGGGACCCAAGCAGGAGGCCCTCCAGACCAGGCCAGTTGGGCCCAAGAGGAAGGAGTTAAAGTGCTCGGGGGAGGAGAAAACTGGGACTGGTGGGAGGGTGGTGGCGGGAGTGACAATATTAGGAGGAGTTACTGAGCGGGAAAGAGTGGGAAATGGGAATAAGAGCATAACTATTCCCAACGGAAATACAACACAAAGGAAATTACTCTTCAACTGCCATACAGGCCTAGGCACATGGCTTAGCACTGATTTCTCCAGGGGTTTATAAAAGGCAGCCAATCCCATCAGCCCCATGACAAGTCTGCTTTTTAGCCGCTCTCAGATCATTCCCTGAACCTCATCCTCTGTAAAGTGGTAATAATAACCATCGTCGTATCTGCAAAATGGGCAGAATACTACAACCTGGGTGGACCTTGAAGATAAAATGCTAAGTGAAGTAAGCCAGACACAAAAGGACACATATTGTATTCAGAGAAACAGAAAGTGGAATGGTTGTCTCCAGGGACTGTGGGGAGGGAAGGATGAGGAATTAATATCTAATGGACACAGAGTTTCAGTTTGGGAAGATAAAAAAGTTTTGGAGCCTGGCCAGTGTGGCTCAGTGGTTGAGTGTCCACCCAGGAACCAGGAGGTCACTGGTTTGATTCCTGGTTGGGGCACATGCCCGGGTTGTGGACTCAGTTCCCAATGGAGGGCATGTGGGAGGCACGATGATTCTCTCTCATCATTGATGTTTCTGTCTCTCTATTCCTCTCCCTTTCTCTCTCTCACTAAAAATCAATAAAGTGGGCCCTGGCTGGTTTGGCTCGGTGGATAGAGCATGGGCCTGTGGACTGAGGGGTCCCGGGCTCAATTCTGGCCAGGGGCACGTGCCCAGGTTGCGGGCTTGATCCCCAGTGGGGGGCATGCAGGAGGCAGCCAGTCAATGATTCTCATCATTGATGTTTCTATCTCTCTCTCCCTCTCCCTGCCTCTCTGAAATAAATTAAAAATAAAGGAGGAAAATTTTTTAAAAAAAGTTTTGGAGATGGATGTTATGATGCTTTCACATCCTAATTTAGCACATCACAAACACAATCATGGTTTAATTGAGTGTACTTAATGCCACTAAACTGTACACATAAAATGGTTAAAATGGTACATTTTATGTTATATATATTTTACCACAATAAAAAAATGATTATAATATCAACCAACTCTGCAGGAGTGTGTGAGGATTAAATAAGATCATTTATTCATTCAATACACAAATATTTATTGAGCTTCTGCTGTGTGTCAGGCACTGTGCTAGGCACTGTGGATGTAACTGTGAACAAAACAGATGGAAATCTCTGCTCTTATGAAATGTCCAGTCCAGGCAGGGGAAGAAATGTAAATGACATCTATAAGTAAGTTACATCGTATGTGAGGAGGTGACAAGCATGCTGGAGAAAAACAGAACTGGGTGAGGAAGATAGTAAATGTGGGGGAGGGACTACCCTTTTTGATGGTGGTCAGGGTGGGACTCTTGAGGAGGGAGCATTTGAGGAAACTTGGAGGAGAGGGAGCGTGCCAGGCAGGTATCTGGGTGTATGTAAGAGGATGTGGTAAGTTGTAAAGCTAGGCATTGTGTGTGTGAGAGAGAAAAATGAGGTACACAGAGGAATCAATTAAGTTCTTGCCAGCTCCCAAGCTGGCGAAGCTGGGGAGAAAGGGTGCTGGGAACCTCTCCCTCACGTTCCACGGCTGCCCGCAGTTCCCTCTGCCTCTCGCTGTGCCACCCTCCTCCCCCAGCCAGCTGCAGCATCCCTTCCAAAATATCCAGGCTAATTCAGCTGCTGGTGGCAGCGAAAGCAGGGGACCGAGGTCTAGAGGAGGCTGAGAAAGGACGAGTGGGGGATGCCGACAAGCCCTGCCTGAGCTGGCTGAGGCCCTCGACAAATGAGCCGGTGTGTCCTAGAAACAGGGTGCACGGAGGGGCAGGGACCAGGGCACGCAGGGTCGGACAGGTGTGTGGGAGTGGGGAGGCCAGGGCAGAGTGGAGAGAAGCAGGACTTGGGGAAGAAGAGACTGGCAGTGTGCAGGCCAAAAAGGTAGGCAAGGCCCTCCAGGAACGCTGCGCATCTCCTGAACCAAGGGAAACGGGTCCGGACGGGCCAAGCAATGCAACTGCCAAGTGAGCATTTCTTATTGGGGGTGGGAAGGGGTCCTAGACGGGGAGAAGAAATGCAGAGAACAGCCAATGGGCATAGAGAAGAGGATCAGCCATTGTAGAGAGGGTCAGAGGATAGCGCGAGGGTTTAATAACACTGAAGGATTTGCCCAAACAGACTCACCAGCATTATCTCCCGGCTTTTCTTCTGCCTGAGCGTGGCCAGGCATCCCCTTTCAGGCAGACCCGACATATCTTCAAGATGGAAGAAAATGAAAATAAATCGGGCGG